TTAGCGTAAAAATGACACAGGTATTGTGTAACAGATTTTTGATCTAATAAGGCAAACAAGTCTCAATTACAGTACTGTTTTGATTGCACAGGTATCTTCTACAGTTTTAGCTCATATCAGGATGGATTCCTAGTTCAACTGCAAATTGTACGGCTAACATCGATGAAACTACACTGACACTGTAGTCACCAAATGAAGCAGTTTTGGTGTATCGATCATGTCCCTGCCTAATTCTCTGCCATTTAGGAGTTAAATCCATTTTGTTTTTGCAGCCCTAGTGTAATACTCAGGAATTAAAGGACCACTATAGTGCCAGGAAAACATACTTGTTTTCCTGGCACTATAGGGTCTCTAGGCCCCCCACCCTCAGGGCCCCCCTCCTGCTAAGGAAGTGATGTCTCTTTGCATTAAAAAAAACAAACAAAAAAAAAACAGTTCTTTTCCTTTGTAATCCTTTTCCAAAAGATAATTACAACAATAAGCATGCAGGATATTTGCAATTAAGGCTCTTGCCGCGCATGCTCATTCGGCTCTACTCGGGAGCCAACGTCGGAGGGGGAGGAGAGGCCCCCAGCGCTGAGGGAGCCCGGCGCTGGTTAAAGATAAGTGGGTGAAGGGGTTTTAATCCCTTCAGACTAGTGGAAGGGGGGCCATGAGAGTGGGGGGTGAGGGGGGACCTAAGGACTACATAGTGCCAGGAAAACAAGTTTGTTTTCCTGGCACTATAGTGGTCCTTTAACTTATCTATTGGAAGCTGACAGAAGGAGGTCTCTAATCAGGGTTAGAGAGATCTGCAAGGTTGGTTTCCATTAGCCAGGTTTCGGTACACAAAATAGTATTACGGTACTAATACTGTATTAGTACCTTAATGTATCTCATAGCCAAGTGTAAACAAATTGATTGAGCAATTTGAGATTACTTGCCGTTTCCTTTAACCCCTTAAGGACGGAGCCAAATGTACAAGTTGTGATCCCAAAAAAATTTAAACAAACCACAGAATTTGACTATGTCTGTCCAACAATAATTTAACTCTTTCATATTACGTACACCCATACTTATTATATATCATTTTGTTCATGAGAATCAGAGCTTTCATTTCATATCAAGGTTATATATATGGAACTAACTTTTTTTTTTTTATGAAGAAAATCTAAAAGAACTTTGAAAAATGACAAAAGTTTTGCATGGCATTTTTACTGCGAATGTCATAATACTGTTCACTTTTACTGCAATAAAACACTCACATTTGTATTCAGCAATGTATCATGAGTAATACAGTAACACCCATGTACAGGTTTTATGGGTTTTTCAAAAGTTACATGGTCCAATATTGGGCTTGCCCATTAATTTTATTTACACATAGAATTTTTTTTAGATTTGTTTGCTGGGCCTATGTTGCATTTGAGACAGTATGGCAGCCCAGAAATGAAAATCAGCCCCATCATGGCATACCATCTGAAAAAGAAGCCATCCCAGGGTATTCAAAATGGGCTATTTTCAATCTTTTGTAGTAGCCACTTAGACACAAACACTATTGGTGTTAAGATTTTGTTTTTGCATTTTTTACATAAAAACTGTACTTTCAGTGATGATATTATTGTGCTATTATACATTTTACTGCTCTGAAACGCTCACATTTCTGCAGTGGTGTATCCTGGTTTTGTGCTGCCCTAGGCACAAACATTCACTGACAGATACGCATACACTCGCTAACAGAAACACACACTCTCACAGTCAGACACACACTCACAGTCAGACACGCACTCACAGACACACACGCACTCACAGACACACACGCACTCACAGACACACTCACACTCACAGACACACACATACACACTAACAGATGCACACAGTCAGACACACACTAACAGACACACACTAGCAGACACTCACTCATTAGCAGACACACACTAGCAGACACACACACTAACAAACACACACACATTAACAGACACACTCAAAGACATATACACACACTCACTCACATTAACACATTTTTATTAAATTTTTTTATTTACCCCCCAACCTCCTTACCTTTGGCCAGGGCCGTCTTTAATAACGAATGGACCCTGGGCAAGTGTTTGCTTGGGCCCCCTGTGCCCTGCCGCTCTCGCCCCTCACTCCCTGGTATGCAATCACGGCATCCATCCCAACGCACTGGCGGTACTAAAGTAGAATGAATTTTATTGGGACCCCCAATTGCAAGGTTGGACTAAAGGTAGAACCCCATCTGTCGTGCAACTCCAACAATGCTTTGACAGCTGGGACTCTACCAATTTCCCATGCTTGCAGGGTTGTATTTAGCACTGAGCCATGTTAGTATGTTTGAATGTAAGCATGTGTTTGTATGGAGTATGTTTGTGTGAATGTGTTTGTATGTGGTACTGGAGTTTGAATGCAAGTGTGCATTTATGTGTAGTGTTTGTTTTTGAATGTAGGAGTGTGCTTGTATGTAGTGTTGACGTTTCAATGCAGGAGTGTGTTTTATATGTAGTGTTGAAGTTTGAATGGAGGGGTGTATTTGTATTTAAAGTTGCGGCTCAGATGCACAGGTACACACTCTGACGCACAAGCAGATACACAGATACATACACTGACTACATACAGATAAACAGGCACATACACTGACAGACACACTGACACAGGTACATATATTGACACACACACAGACACATACACTGGTAGACGTACTGACAGACATACTGACACAGGCACATATACAGACATACCGACACACACACACACAGACACATACACTGATCAACATACTGACACACATACACTGACAGAAATACTGACACCCACACACTGACAGATATACTGACACCCACATACACTGAGAAATACTGACACACACACACAGGCACATACACTGACACACACAGACATACTGGCACACAGACAGATATACTGACACATGCATACACATGCACTAACAGACATACTGACGCACTGACAGACATACTGACACATTCACATACTGACACACACATATATACTGACACACACACAGACATGCTGACACACACACACAAACACACACACACACAGACATGCTGACACACACACACAAACACACACACACACACACACACATACACACACATACACACACACACACTAACACACATACACAAACACTAACACACATACACACACACACATAAACACACAAACACATACACTAACACACACAAACACTCATACATACACTAACACACACATACACTAACACACAAACAAACACACACATACACTAACACAAATACTAACACACACAAACAAACACACACATACACTAACACACAAATACTAACACACAAACACACACATACACATACACACATTTTAAAAAAAAAATGTAATCCCCCCAGCCTCCTTACCTTTTGGAGTGCTGGGGGGATTCCCTGGGGTCCAGTGGTGGTGCTGGGCTCCTGGGCGGGTGGCCGGTCGGGCAGGAAGGCGGGCGCGCAAGGGAGCACTCACTGCTTCCTCTTCAGCTCCCTCGCGCGCCGCGTAGGATGCCGGCGCCGGAAGATGACGTCATCTTCCGGCTCCGGCATCAGTGCGGTGCGCGAGGGAGCTGAAGAGGAAGCAGTGAGTGCTCCCTCGCGCGCCCGCCTGCCTGACCGGCCACCCGCCCGCCGGGGTCAGCGGGGCCCACGGGGCAGGTGCCTCGGGCCCCCCAAGAGAAACTGGGCCCGGGGCAGCTGCCCCGTTTGCCCCGCGTTAAAGACGGCCCTGCCTTTGGCAAAGCTGGGGTGGGGGGTCCCTCTCTCACTGGTGGTCCAGTGGCTGCTGGGCGGGCGGGCGGCTGGCAAGGGAGCTCTTCCTCTGAGCTGACTGCTCAGCTCCCTCACGCGCCGCAGAGTGAGGCTGGGAGCCAGGTTGATGACGTCATATTCCGGCTCCCACCCTCACTCTGCGGCGTGCGAGGGAGCTGAGCAGAGCGCTCAGAGGAAGTGCTCCCTCGCCAGCGGCCCGCCCGACCATCAGCCAGTGCTGCCCAGCATGTCTGTTAGCCGCCAGGCTAACTAGGCATTTGCCCTGGGCATTTGGGGGGGCTGCGTTTTTGCCGCCCCCTGGAAAATGCCGCCCAAGGCAAATGCCTTGTTTGCCTCACGGCTAAAATGCCCCTGCATTTCTGGTACCCCCCATGTATATGTTTTATGGTGTTTTGGAAAGTTACAGGGTCCAATATAGGGCTTGTCCATTTATGTTTTTACACGTGGAAATTTGGTAGATTGGTTTGCTGGGCCTATGTTGCATTCGAGACAGCACAAAAATGAAAATTACCCCCATCATGACATACCATTTGAAAAAGAAGCCATCCCAGGGTATTCAAAATGGGCTATTTTCAGTATTTTGTAGTAGCCACTTAGACACAAGCACTAGCCAAAGTTGTCGTTCAGACTTTGGTTTTTCACATAAAAACTGTACTTTCAGTGATGATATCGTTCTTATAAATTTCACTGCTCTGAAACACTTACATTTCTGGTCAGTGACGTCTCATGTGTGCAATGGTACCCCCTATGTATAGGTTTTATTGGGCTTTGGAAAGTTATATGGTCTAATATGCGTCTTATCCATTTATGTTTTTACACACTGAAATTTGGCAAAGTGATTTTCTGGGCCTATGCCACTATTATGACATGCCGTTTTCAAAAGTAGACAACGCAGAGAATTCTAAATGTCATGTATTGATATGTTTGGCCTAACCTAACTTCATATTCCTTATATGGGTTACTGCAATAGAGCCACGGTATTTTGATTACACATTGTTTCACGAATATAACAGTACGCCCAAGTACCATTATTTCAATTTGTTTCGGTAACTTTTACAGGGTGTGGTGGGGGGGGGGGATTCCGGAAGGGAAATGTTTGCTGAAAAGTCTTTGGACATCTTAAGATTCCAAAGGAGGGTTAGGATTGGGGGCCTGGGCAAATACAATTTGAGACAAAATTTGTACCATAAACTCTAGAAATGGACATAAATCTACCTATGGCTTCCTTTTTATAAAGCACGTAGGATTTGAAAATTGCAATCTGGCTTACGTAGATTGCAATTTTCTTATACCAGGTCCTCCTCTTTCGGTTCACCAGATAGGGCTGTATGCATTTGTCAGCCAAATCTACTCCCCCCATAAACTTGCTGTAGTCTACAACGCACTTCGGCTTCTCCAGCTGCTCAGTTCCACCTTTCCCAGACACTGGAACTGAAGTTTCATTGTGCATTGTAGACAACATTAATACATCCTTCCTATAGGTGAAGCGAAGGGCAAACAATTCATCCTGGTGAAGCGATAAAAGGGTGCCTCTACTGCATTTGCCTCTTGACAGGGTTTGGGGGAAACCTCTGTGATTCTTCCGCACTGTGCCACAGGTTAGGATTTCAAAGCAAAATAAAGTTTTAAATAACTCTATGCTTGAATAATAGTTGTCAACCCATAGCCCGTATCCCTTATTTAACTAAGGAAGGATTAGGTCCCATACTATCCTGCCACTTGTACCCACAGAATCAGGGCATCCTGGTAGGTCAAGATGGCTATCCTTTCCTTGAAGAAACGCCCATGTATATCCAGATTTGGATTCACACAATTTGTAAAATTTGATACCGTGTCGGGACCGTTTAGAAGGGATATACTGCTTAAAAAGTAATCTACCCTTAAACTTTATTAGGGATTCATCTACACAAATATTTTCTTCAGGGACATAATTTTGGGAGAATTTGTCTGACAGGAGTTGTATTAGGGGCCAAAATTTGTAGAGCCTGTCAAACAATGGGTCGTTTCTTGGGGAGCACAGTACGTTATCGTTGAAGTGGAGGAAACACAGCCGCTGCTCTTCATAACCCCTGGGAAAAGAGGGGTAGCCAGGATGGGGTGCTTGTACCAGTAGGACCTGATACTCGGATTTTTGATGATACCCATAACCAGAGTTAGGGCCCGAAATTTGCGCATTTCTGCGAGATCCGTGGGGTACCACATATTTCGCCCATTGTAATGTGACCCCGGATCAAACGTGACCATCAAAATATTTAATTGACTCCAAGCATCCACCATAACAGTGATGCCAGGGGTCACCGTGAATGGGAGTATTTCTGGCGACGTCCATTTGGGAGCACCCAGTCTCCATCTGGCATTGGGCTTGCTGAGCGTCCTCTAGTAGGTGGTGGTGGGGCACCATCACTTGAGGACTCACTCAGAGGCTCAATGTCAGAGGCAGTGATAGTGTCACTGTCTTGCATAGTGTCATTATCACTGCCTGCCAGATTTGTGTACTCCTCCTCTGCTGAGTAGCAACGTGCCATTCTAGGGGGCATTAATCAATAATTAATTAAAAAAACTAGGGGGGGAAATACTAAATTCCTACACTTACACCTACTACCCACCTTCAAAAACCAAAACACGAAAAATAAAATAAATGTACTGATCACAGTTTAGACTGCTGTTATAAAGGGATATATATATATAAAAAAATTTTTTTAATAAAAATAACCTCAAAAAAAGTCAGCCTGATCAGAGAGCCCTCTGATCACAGTGATCACAGATATAGTACTGTACAGCAGCGATACTGTACAGTACAGTGATCACGGCAGCAGGGAAGGGGTTAAGGGAGATTTGGGTTGCTGCGGCTGACAAAGGGTCAAAAAATGTTTACATTTATATTTTTTGACCCTAAAAATGTTTTATTAATAATTGTACAAATATACTAACAGCCCTAATCAGGCTGATC